GCGGGGCAGCGGGGAGGCGGCAGAGCCCCCAGGTCGCGGCTTGACGGTCCTTCCCCCCTGCCGCTCCCCCAGGACGGGTTTGTGTTCCGGATCCGCGTGGCCTATCAGCGGGAGCCGCAGATCCTGAGGGAGGTGCAGAGCCCCGAGGGGGTGGTCTCTTTGAGGGACACGCCTGCCGCCCTCCGCCTCGAGAGAGACACGAAGCACTTGCCCCTGCTCACCAGTGCCCTGCACGGGTACGCGCGCCTTCTGCCCCGTTCTGTTCGCCCGGCTGCCCGTTTCCCTGGGAGGTCAGGTGGTGTGATAGGTAGGGGTGTGAGTTCTGGAGTCGTGGTCCTCCACTTTCGGCCGGTTTTCCCCCAGGCCTGCTTATTCTCGTCGGTAGGGTTGGCTTTTAGGACACTTCGTACGAAGGCGTGGGAAGACGTGTGTGACGCAGTGGCGCAGAGGCCAGCGCTGGGGCAGGGTTGCTAAAAAGCGGCTGTGCGGCTGAGAGCGGTCCTGGGCCTGAGCGCCCGAACCTCACTGCCGCTGCTCCTCTCCCACAGACTCCAGCAGCAGCACCCAGCCTTCTCGGGTGCCGCTCGGCTGGCCAAGCGGTGGGTGCGCGCCCAGCTTCTGGGTGAGGGCTTCACGGACGAGAGCCTGGACCTGCTGGCCGCTGCCCTCTTCCTGCACCCCGAGCCCTTCACCCCTCCCAGGTGATTCCCGCGGACTTCTCCCCAGGCAGGAATTCTTGGAGGCAGCCTTCATCCTGCATGCCACAGCCTCAGTCCAAATGGGAGGGGCAGCGGAGGCAGTGAGGCTGGGTTTAGATGCTGTGCCTCCCCCGGGCTTGCTGAGGGGTCTGGGCCCCCGAGACGGTGGGAAGTCCTGGGGGAGGGCCGGGGCAGGCTCTCACTCCTTCCACCCAGCTCCCCCCAGGTTGGCTTCCTTCGGTTCCTTTCCCTCGTGTCAACCTTTGATTGGAAGAATAATCCCCTCATTGTCAACCTCAATAACGAGCTCACTGGTGAGTGGTAGCAGTGGGGCCAGACTGCTGGCAGAAGCGCCCCCTGCGGATCGTAGCGCGGGCAGGAGCTTTTCTGCCTCAGTCCGTTAGGTTTGCTCTGCCTGACCTGAGTGGTGGTCGAGGACGCTGGGCAGGGTGCTGGGTTGGCTGCCTGAGGGGCTGTGGGCCTGCACGCCAGTGAGAAGCCTCCTGTCGGGGGTGAGGAGGGCAGCCTTGCAGCCCACACCTACTGAGGGTGGGGACGGCGGGCGATTTCCATTGTAATCTGAGGCGCTGTGGGTCTCAGAAGAGAACAGGTGTCAGATTCCTAATTCTGCAGGTGTGGGAGCCTAGGCAGGAGGGGCCCAGAGCAGGCCTCAGCGTGTGCGGGCCCGGAACCAGCCAGGGGGTGCCAGGCAGTGGGAAATTCTGCCTCTGGGCTGAGGGGAGATTAACATCCCCCACTAAAACAAATGCGGTGTCCGTTTCGTCACCCTTGCTCCTGGGGGAAGGGATACTGGAAAATCCCTGTACCAGGCAGCTGCTGAGTGTGCAGTAGGACGACGGGCAGTAAGGGCGTCCTCTGGGGGGACCAGCTGACCCAGGGACCCCCTTGTCTGTAGCGGAGGAGCAGGCGGAGATCCGCAGTGGTTTCCTGGCAGCTCGAACTCGACTCCCCGTTATGGTCCTCCTGACTCCCCAGGACCGCAAAAGCTCTGTGTGGACACAGGATGGACCTTCAGCCCAGGTTCAACCCTATATCTTCCCCACGTTGAATTTTCTGCCCCAGGAGGAAAGTGGCCCAGCCTAGTCGGGAAACTCTTGGTCAGTTGGTCTGAAGTTTCTGTACCCCCGCCCCCCAGATCCTCCAGCAGCTTGTGACCCTAGCAGCCGAGGCTCTGCCTATCCTAGAGAAGCAGCTAATGGATCCCTGGGGGCCTGGGGACATCAGGGTAAGCCCCAGACCCACAGCAGCTCCAGGAGCTCTTGGGCCTCTGAGCGCTGGAAGTCCAGCATTCGGGGTCCTCAGCAAATGCCTCGGCCCCTTGTGTGCTGAGACCGGCAGTGGTGGAGCCTAGAGGAGAACCTGGGCTCCCCTGGGCCTCGTCCTGGCCTCCGCTCCTCCTGCTGCTTCTCGGTCTCGGTGTTCTTGCCGTCACGTGGGGGCCGGCCTGTAAAAGATGGCTGGACGCGGGAAGGAGGGATGCAGTGGGGTGGGCGTGCGGAAGGGTGATTTAGGGGCCGCTGCTATCCCTGCCCTCTTCTAGACAGTGTTCCGGCCGCCCTTGGACATATATGACGTGCTGATCCGCCTCTCTCCCCGCCACGTTCCCCGGCACCGCCAGGCTGTGGACTGTCCAGCCGCTTCCTTCTGCCGCGGCCAGCTCAGGGAGCCGGGGCCCTCATCGCTGATGCCGGTGCTGGGTTTCGATCCCCCTCAGCTCTACCTGGCACAGCTCAGGGTGGGTCCTCAAGGCTGGTCGAGCTGGGGAAAGGACTGCCAGGTGGAACAAGGGCCCACCTGTAATCTTGTCTCCTTTGTCCGCTGCTAGGAGGCCTTTGGGGATCTGGCGCTTTTCTTCTATGACCAGCATGGCGGAGAAGTGATTGGTGTACTCTGGAAGCCCACCAGCTTCCAGCCGCAGCCCTTCAAGGTGTGTGGCCGTGTGCGCTGCGGGTGCCCGCGGGTGCCTTGTGGGTGTGTGTCCGGTGCAGTCTGCTCCGTGAATGGCCCTGGGTCAGCGTGGCCTGCGGGCTCCCGTGTCTTCACCACATTGGCTCTGCCGCAGCCTTTGCGACACCTCAACCCACTTTTCTTTGATTCCCCAGGCTTCCATCGCGAAAGGGCGCATGGTGGTGTCTCAGGGTGAGGAGATGGTGATGGTGCCCAATGTAGAAGCAATCTTGGAGGACTTCGCCGTGTTGGGCGAAGGCCTGGTGCAGGCCGTGGAGGCCCGAAGTGAAAGGTGGACTGTGTGATCCCAGCTTCTGAACAAGCTGTGGGTGGACCTCAGGAGCATGTGGACCCTCCGTAATGGGCCCGATGGCCTGAACACACCGAATCACCCTCAGAGAAGGTCCTGCCCCAGTGTTCTGTCTGCTGCCTCAGCACTGAGGCAGGGCTATGGTGTCCTGTCCAGTACCCTGGGCCTGTCCCCTGAGCAGCCAGAAGAGGACTAGGAGCTGGCTCAGCGGGAGCTGAACCCAGGAGATCGGTCGTCTGTCAGCCCTGGGCCTGGACCTTTTCTTTCTCCCTCCCTCCCTCCCAGGCTTCTCCGAGAAGCACTTGGAGAAGTGGCTGTGTGCCTGGGTTGGAGGCTCTGTCCCCGTCCTTCACGTGGCAGGACTCAGGCGCAGATCTCATCGTGCCTTCACTGTAGCATCAGGCCTTCAGTCGGGGCCCAGAGGTGTGACTCTTCCTGAGGGTCACAGCACCGGCCCTGAGCGGTGGGAACGGGCTCTGTGTGTCTGAACAGACCGCACTGAAAGTGCACAACGTCCTCCTGGGTTGGTGCTGCTGCTTCCCTGGGTGGAGACTGGGAAAGGGCAGGGGACGGGAAGGAGCTGGTGGGTTCAAGCGTCAGGTGGTCCCCGGCACAGAAGGGGTACAGAAGGCATCGGGTGCTGCCTGCAGCCGGTTAGTGTTGGAGCTGTGCCCGCCTCGCCCCCGCACAGCTGCCTGCTCCTGCCTGGCCCTGCTGTGCACTTGCAGTGCAGTTGCAGAGATGAGGACGCAGGTCCTGCTCTCCAGGAGCTCTGGAGCCCCAGGGCATGGGGAACACCCTCTTCTGACGCAGCTCCCAGCTCCTGTTTCCTGTAATCTCAGTCGGATAGCTCTCCTCCTGAGCCGCGCCTTCGCCCCTAGCCGGAGGTGCCCTTTCCCCTGTGCGAGGAGAGCACTCACTCTCTGGGCTCGCCTGGCAGGCTGCCACAGCAGTGTGAGCCCTTCTCTGGGACCCTCGTGTCAATTAAAGTGCTTGCTTTTGTCCATGGTCTTGGTTTGTCGCCCCTTTTCGTGTGGTTTTAAACGGTCCAAGCTGTGTAAGGCATGGAACATGTTTCGAACACACATTTCTTAGTACCCTTCATGGCGCGTAGTATGGGGCTTCGCTCAAGTAGGACATAGATGTGTACAGCCAAGTGGATGAAGGCTGCCGGAAATGGGCATTTATGAGCTCTGCGTGGAGCAGGTGGGGTGTTAGTGAAGGGAAAGCCTGAGGTGAATAGGCCATGTTTAAGGAACATCTGGTAGACCAGGTCCCAGCATTGTTAGGGGATGTGTCCTCCATCACAAATGGGAACTTGGCCGTAGGCCAGCTCCGCTCGGTTGTGTGCGCAGGCTGAGTGGCGGGGCCCAGTGGATGTCTCCTTGCCAGGAGCTCCAGTCTCACAGTGAGAATCACGTGTGTGAACTCTGGCCTCCAGTTTTGTCTTGCAGTGTTGAACTCAGAGCCTTTGCACTGAGCTATGTCCCCAACCCCCCTACCCTCTCCTTTTCAGACACTATCTAAGTTGTCCAGGTTGAGCTCCAACTTGGGATCCTTCTGCCTCAGCCTCCCAGTGTGCTGGGATACACACCCAGGTTTTTTCTCTAGTTTTGTTCCAACTGTTGGTCTCTCTGGACCTCTGCCTGTCCCTAGTATTACTGTCACAGAACAGTTCTGCTCAGGGTTGACATTAGCATAGAGAATAAACTGGTTGGCAGCGTGAGCTGGAGGTCTGTGTATCTCCCTGTGCTGTGTGTTCATTCATGAAAAAAGAGCGTGCCAGGCTTTGGGTAAAGTAAACAGCCCTTAACCCTGCAGCCCATGCGTGGTCAGCGGTCATCCTTGCCTCTTCTGCTTTCTCTGGGTTCCGTAGACTGTGCACAGTGCGGCCATGGGTCCTGGCAAGGGTCAGAGGTTTCTGGCAGTTCCAAACCATCCTGTCTCACCCCCAGGGCGGCTGGAGGCTCTTACAAACCAGCTCTGGATCGCCTGCTGAGGGAGAGGGGTAGGACCTGCTCCGGGGCAGCAGTACAGCAGGCGGCTCTACGAGGAGCACGCACGGGTACCAACCTGAAGGAGCTGCAGTCCTGCTGTCTCCCCGTGTGCTCCTGCATAAGTCACTTCCTCTGGTTGGGCTCAGTCTCCTCACTTACACAGCAGGCATGGTAGTGGCTCTGTCAGGTGCCCAGTGCCCAGTGTGGCGAGGGGAGAGGGCTGAGATCTCAGAAGCCCACGGGTGGCACCGTCCTTTCCTCTGCTTCCCACTCGTGCTTGGCCTTGGCTCCACGCCGCAGCTCGATCTCCTTCCCTCAGATTCTTCAGGACGCAGGCCAGGAGGCCAGTGTCCTAGAAGACTCTTGGCTCCTTGTTCAGCCAGGCTGACACTGGCCCTTCAGGTCCCAGCTCACAGGAAGGAAGGTTCTCGGGCCGTGGCTGAGGTCTGGGGACAAGCGGTCAGGCGCTGGAGTCTTGGAAGGGAGGGAGGGCACTTCGCAAGAAGCCTCACACATGGGCGTGCTCCGGACGGCGCAAGGTGTGCGTGCCGTGGGTGTGCAGCGCTCAGTCCTGCAGGGGCACACCGGTTGGGCGGCGGTCTCTCTGGCATGACACAGCTGTCCTGTGTGCTGGGTGTGCACACATCTGTGTGGATGCATCTTCGTGTCACATTTTGCCTCCTGCTCTGGATTGCTGCTAAAGGGACAATGGGCTTTGGAGTCCAGGTCAGAAAAAGTGCTCAAGGGGGGCTGGGGATTTAGCTCAGGGGGCTGGGGATTTAGCTCAGCGGCAAAAGCGCCTGCCTGGCAAGCGCAAGGTCGTGAGTTCGGTTCCCGGTACCGGAGAAAAAACCAAAAAAAAAAAAAGAAAAAGTGCTCAAGGAGGACATAGAGATCCGCATTGTTCTGTGGTTTTAGATAAAGTTTTCATTTGTGGGGAGATTCTGGCTTCCCCAGTTCTTACTGACCTTCTCATTACCCCTAGTGCAATTTAAGGAACTCTCAAAGGGTCTTCCTCGCTGCCTGTGGAACTGATGGTCCCTTTTAATCCAACGCCTGCTTAGCTGAAGCCTGTACCTCCCCCTGTCCAGCTCCTTGCTTGGGAGGAGAAAGAAGACTCCGAAGCCGGGGGTCCACGCAGCAGGTCACCTTCGGTGAAGTCCAAGGACGGCTCAGCCCCTGACCTGCGAAATCAGATTTGGGCTAACCAGCTCCCCCCCGACCCCGGTACTCACCCCCACCCCGTATCCGGGGCAGTACTTGTCTAGTGAGTCAGATGAATTCAGCGCAGTGATAAGGGAGAGGGGCAGCCTGGGGCACGTGAGTCACCCCTGCCTTCCACGCGAAAGGTCAGTGTGCCCGTCCCCGGCTGCGGAGGGAGGAGGAGGCATCTCAGGACACCCCGGGGAACCGGGGGTAACAAGAGGAGGGTGTTCCGAACCCAGGGGGAGACTTGCTCTGACATGTCAGCTCCTGGGAGATGGTAGGGAGGATATTTTTCTGATGTATGTGCGGCACAGAGAGATGCAGGATCTTACCCAGGGTCAGACAGGTTGTTGGGAGGAGGGAAACGGGACAGTCAAGGTGTCCTGGCTCCCAATAAACCGCCTGCTGCTGAGCCTGGCCTCACGGGCCTAAGGCGTGAGGCGAGGGGGGACGAAGGCGGGGTCTGAGCTACAGCTCTCTCCAGTGGGGCAGGCAAGGGGGGCAAACCTAGGGGCCCCTCTATTACAGCTGTCATCAGCAAGACCCAAGGAGCAGAGTTAAGATGGGGTGCGGTGGGGTGGGAGCATGAGCATTGTGGTGCACCCCAGCTCGTCTCAATCTCTGCTGCTTGGCCTGCGAGCCCCTCAGAAGGGAGCCCCGGTTCTCTATTCTCCCAGACTGGAAACCTGCAGAGCAGGACGGGGCTCCCCCAAAGTTTGAGGAGGCCGAGACTGAGCCTTACCTGAAGCGGCGAGGGAGCATGGCGCCCCAGCCCCTGTGCCCTGGCGGCCAACAGTTCGGGTGGGAACATCACATTCCGGCCTGGCCTGCCCTGGTCTCCCGTCACGGCACCCCCACGCCCCCACACCGCCTCCTACCCTCTGGGGTCACTGGAGCCCAGTTCGCAGGAAGTTCATTCCTGAACTCTGACTGCTGAGTCTGCTGCTGCGCCCTGTCACCGCCCCGCACCCTTCCCCTGTGACTCCGCTCCCTGGCTGGTGGTGGTGGCTGCACCGTAATTAGCAGTCGGCCTGGGCTGGGATGAGGGACGAGCACCCTGGGGCTCACACACGCTCACTGCCTTTCCGGTACGCAGATGCCGAGCCTCCTGCCAAGCCCAGGCCCTGCCCTTCGACCCTGGCCCTCCGGAGAGCAGTCCTCCGCTGGCCCCAGGCCCCACCTCGGCCTCGTCCCTGTCCCTACCTGCCTGGTCCCTGCCCGCCGATTCCGCCCACCTTCTCGAGTTTCCTGCAGCTCTGCCGCCGGGCTCTGCCTCCCAAATCCCAAGTGCACACCCTCTTGCCTCCCCGCACCACTGCCCAACAGGTAGCTGCTTTTCCTCCTTTCTGGCTCTTCCCGGGCCTCCAGGCCACAGTCTCTCCCCTTCTAACCCACCCTCCACTCGGCTGGCCGGGTCTTTCCATCTGGCTGTGGAGACCATGTTGCCCGCCCCCGCCGCAGTTTAACACCTTCGGAACTCCCCCAGCCACTGTTCTCGGTTCTGCTTTTGCGGGATTGACGCAGGGCCTCACGGATCATGAACCCCTGATGCAGGCCAGGCTGGCCCCAAACTTGCATGCAGTCCTCTTGTATCGGCCTGCGGAGTGCTGGGATTACAGGTGTGCGCCCCAGGGCTGGCCCAGCCACTCTTCTGGGTGGGGGACCATTGTCAGCTGTAATCGTGCTGAGAACCTGGATGTGACCGAGCTGAACTACTGTGGTTGAAGCAGGAGGTGTCTCGGGCTCTGCCGCTTGGCTTCTCTGTCTTCGCCTCCCAGTTACAGCAGAGCCTGTGAAAGCTCCCTCAGAGCCCTGGGCTTGGAGAAGCACAGCCCAAATGCCTCCTGTCTCCTCCCGGCCCTTCGTGTAGGACTCAGAGCCCTCCCCATACCAGCCATTTCCTTCCCTATCCTTTCTGCCACTGTTCCCTCTATGCCCAGACAGGCAGCTACCCTTAACAGAGCCAGATCAGCAATCTCTTCCCTGGAAAACCCGTCACAGAGTCTCGAGCCAAGTGTTTCCTCCCCCAAGAAGCCCTCTGCCCCGGGGGTGGCGGTGTACCCCTGTAATCCTAGCACTCAGGAGGCTGAGGCAGGAGGATTACTCTGAGTCTGAGACCAGCCTGGACTACATAGTGAGACCCTGTTAGAAAACAAACAACACAAAACAAAACAAAAAGAACCTGTCCTGGCTCCAGAAGCTTTCCTGCCAGCGAGGAGAGAGATGGGAAAACCGGAAGGAAGCGCCCCTAGGGATTTGGCCCCTGAGATGTGAACAAGAGCTCTGCAGAGTTCACTGATGGCCCGGTCTGTTCCAGCTCCGTGTCACTAGCACCCCTTCTCCCAAGGCTGGCATGGGATTGGCCCACGTCTGGCAGTTCCTCTCCACACTCCTTGGCTTCCTCTTCTGGCTTTTGGAGATAGGAGGCCCAAACCTGAAGTTAACAAAGGGTTATTACCTATAACTGATAACCGAGGGGCACAAGGCTTGCTTGAGCCCTGTAACAGCCCGTGCAACTCTCCCATCTTGGGAATTCAAAAACCCAATGGGAACGGACATAGGAGACCCAGACCCATTGCCAGGCCCACAGAGGGGCACGCAGACTCTCAGGGGCACACACACACACACAGTGCCCGGGGACGTGCCCACGGGCACGGCCCACACGCATGTGCATGGGTACCCGCACAAGGAGAGGTGGCCCTGGGTCGAGTTGGCTCTTGCACGGTACGAACCCTCCCGTCAGGCTGACTACGGCGTGAGTGTTCAAGGCCGGAATCTGCACTCTGTCGGGTGCTGACAGAGGCCTTGGAGTTCCTACAGCTGAGCCCCCATGCGGCTCGTGCAGAGAATATGACCCGGGGAGGAGTACTCTAGGCCACCCGACTGGTCAGTGGCCCAGCCAGGCTTGGAGCTGAGACACTGGGTCTGCTGGAGGTCTGTCTCCATCCTGCGCCCTTCCTCTGCAGAGTCTAGGGCTCAGTCTTTGTTTGTTTGTTTGAGACAGGGTCTTGCTGTATATTCTAGGCTGGTCTTGAATATTCTATGTAGTCCAGGCTGGCCTCAAACTCACGGTGATTCTCCTGCCTCAGCCTCCCAAGTGCTGAGATTGTAGGTATAGGGCTCAGTCTTATTCCTCTGCTCCCTTACTATGACTCTCTGCTGTCCCAGCCCCTCAAAGGCTGCTGAGGACAGCTCAGGAACACCAAGAAGTAAACCTAGAGCCCCCATAGATTGAAAAAGATTTGCTCAAGGTCCAATTGGACATCTGTCTAGAGTTCCCCAAAAGGATTTATGGGCTCAGGCCGACGCAGCCTATTTGGAGGTACAGGGTAACTACTGGCACAGGAGGAGGAGCTGCCCGCCGTCCATCCCCCAGTCTGGGGACGCTCGTAACAGGGTGATTCATGTCTGCTGTCCACTCCCATTCCAGCCCAGACTTGACCCCCAATCCTTGAAGCCCAGGAGCGAGACAGTGTTGCCAGTGGCTTAAGAATGGGGGTACACCTGGCCGTGGTGGTGCACACCTGTAATCCCAGCACTCGGGAGGCTGAGGCAGGAGGACTGTTCTGAGTTTGAGGCCAGCCTGGACTACAAAGTGAGCTCAAGGCCAGCCTGAACTGCATAGTGAGACCCTGTCTCAAAAAGACGAAAAAAAAAAAAAAAAAGAATGGGGTACAGGGCTGGGGATACAGCTCAGCAGCACAGTGCCTGCCTTGCAGGCGCAAAGTCCTGAGTTCAATTCCCAGTGCCAAAAAAAAGAATGGGGGTGCACCCCGGAAAGGGGCCCAGAGATGCAGGGGCTTGGAAGGTGTCTCAGCCCGGGTGCCTACTTACCGGGCCCCAGAGCTGCAGCTCCCTGGCCTCTCTACCCTCTTCATTCTCCCTCCCTATCTCCGTGGGGCTTGGTTTGACGCTCACATCAATGTTCAGTAACTGGCTGACTTCAGCAGGTGGTTTCTCTCTTGCTCTTCAGTTCGGTTATCTGTAAAACAGGGGAGATACTCCCACTTATGGAGGTTGCTTTGCTAAGGGAAGGGAGGTGTTTTCTACAGCTGCAAAGGTCTTCAGGTCTGCTTTGCTTTGCTCCTCTCCCACTCCATGCTAATGCCCTGGCAGAGGTGAGGGGGCTTGGGGGAACCCATCGGACGCTAAGTGAACTGTTTCCTGCATTTCCACCCTCAGCTCTGACTCACGGGCAGCGAGGTCTGTACCTCCTTTGCTGGTTCAGGCTGCTGTCACTCAAGCAGAAAGAGTTCGGGGGACAGGAAATGAAGGGCAGGCCACCCCCTTCCCTGAAAGTGCCCCAGCCAGCCCCTCTGGCCCAGCAGGCTGGAACTTGTGCTCCGGCCCTTCCTTCTCCTGAAGACCCACCCCTGCAGCTCTAGCCTTACAGGAGTCATGGCCTCCCACGGCAGGATGGGCTGCCCAGGCCCCTTGCTTGGCTCGGCCATCCACCCAGTGAGACACAGGCCTTGCTCAAGATGCCCTGGGAGGAGATGTGAGTCCCCATCTGCCCTCTCCTGGTGCTCTTCGAGGGACTGGCTCTTGGCCCACACTCAAGGCTGACTCTCCCCGCCAAAGCATGAGAGAAAGCCCAAAGCCTCCAGGTACTCCGTGTGACTCAGCGGGCTGGGACCTTAGATGCCTCTTCTCTGTGAATGACGCCTTCCTCTGCCTTTGCTTGCTGGGGGCACCAACCACATCAACTGTAGAGAGAGCGATCTGCCCCACTTCCGCCCCACAGGCAGGCCAGCCTGGCACATCTGTTTGGCATCCCCTGGCCCTTCTTCATCCCAAGTGGCCCAAGAAGGGCTGGCAGGAATAAGGAGGACATTGTGTCCTTCCCGCTCCAGACAGGGTCCTCTTACACCCACTAAGACGCCTCAAGACCTGTCCATCGTGCTTCTCAGCGCCAGCCCTGGCCAGCGGGCATAAAGCGCCCCTACGTGAACACGGGCGTACCTCCTACTTAGGATGCGAGTGAGTTTGGTGGGAGTACACAGGGTCAGGGCTCTGCCTGTTGGACCTTAGTAGAGGGAACAGAAGAAAAAAGACACCGACACCCAGCCCTCGTTTTGTTTCACTCGCCACGGCGCAAGCCGTGGCACGACAGGGCTGCACCAACTAGAGGGAGTCACAGAGGCACCCGGGCAGCCAGGCGTCGCTGGGTGAGGGCGTGAGCAAGACGCACAGGTCCGCAGCTGGGGGGGGGGTCCTGCTCCTTCCTGGTGCGCCCGCGCGAGGGGAGGACAATCACATGCCTGCCCATGCCCTTGTGTGTGACTGCTGGCGGCCGAGCCCCCCCTCCTGTGTTCTGCTTCCCAGGCCGCATCCAGCTGCCACAGGCCCAGGCGGGGGTGGGGGAGGCCCCGTGCGGTGGGCCGGGGCCCCAGCCCTGGGCTCTGTCTGGGTCAAGGGCCGTAGCAGCTTTATGTATGGCTCCATATATGTCCAGACCTAAGGCCAGGATCTCATGTGAATGGGGTTTCATGACCATGTAAGAATTCAGCGTCATGTTTACAGCGGCACGGTTTGTCATAGCCAAATCTTGGGAACAACCCAAGTGCCCATAAACTGGTGAGTGGATAAAGAAGATGTGGATGTTTTATACAATGGAGTCCTACTCCACCCTAAAGGAGGGTACGCTCGAGACATTTCCAGGAAAATGGATGCACCTTGAGCCCATAGTCTTAAGTGAAATAAATTGGGCACACACGTGTGAATACCACACTGTTTCTCTGGTGTGAGAAACCAAAAGTGTAAATAAGGACCAAAATGTATAATAGGTATTGTGAAATCGGAAGAAAAGGTTCAAATGGGGAGGGAAAGGACAAAGGAGAAGGAGAGGGAAAGAAGGAAAAAGTAAAAAAAAAAAAACGAGAAAAGAAGAAAAACATGGAAACAAAGCTTTTTAAATGGGGGGAAGGGGGGGTTGGGAATGGGGGAAAACTCAGTTATATCAGGTACAGGCACAAATTCTGTATGATGAATGCGATCGTTATGTATATCTAAAGTGTACCAATAAAATCTAATTAAAAAAAAAACTCGATGTGTCTCCAGGCTCGTGTGTAATCGCAAGCTCCAGGGTGTGGGGTTTCTGGGTTTGGGTGCCTGTGTGTGCCTGCGTGTGCATGCGTGTGCCTGCACCGGTGTGAATTCACACTATGCGCCTTGCTAGCCTCACCGCTCTGGGCATGACCTGGTCTGCAGCTGAGAGCCTCACTGCTGACCGCCAATCTTCAAGGGACAAGTCCCGAAAGCCTCCTGCTGGCTCAGTTAAGTCCCATTGGAAAGTTTCTTTGCTCTCCTCTGACCACGCTGCCACAGAGGCTTGGGCATGAGCACAGGATCTTTGCTTCCAGTGCCATGGAAGCAGCGCCCAGGCCATTAAGCCTCAATTTTCTGCTGGGAGTGGTGGCACACGCTTGTAACTCTTGTACTCAGGAGGCTGAGGCAGGAGGATTGCTGAGAGTCTGAGGCCAGCCTGAACTGCATAACAAGACCCTGTTGTTTCTTGTTTTGTTTAGTTTTTTTGTTTTGTTTAGTTTTGTTTTTTAATAAAAGAAAGCCATTTATTTTAAGATGGAGGAGGAAGAGAGAGATGACAGACGGCTACTCTAGGTGAGTAGGGAGAAATCAAAAGTAAATTGCTTTGACCTTGTCTTGAAAAAAAAAAAGCCTCGGGCTGGGGATTTAAGTAGGTGGCACAGCGCCTGCCTGGCAAGCTCGACGTCGTGAGTTCGATTCCCGGTACCGGAAAAAAACAAAACAAACAAACAAACAAAAGCCTAAGTTCCCTGAAAAAAAATTTTTTTTCAGATACTGGGGACTGAACCCAGGGCTTTCAAACTGAGTTACAGCCCCAGCCCGCCTCCCCGCCGCACCCTGTCTTTTTGAGACAGGGTCTCGCTATGTAGTTCAGGCTGGCCTTGAACTCGCGGCGATACTTCTGCCTCAGCCTCCCAGCGCTGAGGTTACGAGCGCAGGCCGCCTGTCGGCTCACACGGACTCCCGCTAGCTCCAGTCTCAGCTGGGGTCCCCAGCCTGTCTGAGCCGCGCCCCAACCAGCTCTCACCCCGCG